GTTTAACATTGTTCTGTGTATATCATTTGAATTTCTTCAATTTCAAACGAATGAGCGCTGATTTTCGTATAATTTTTGTAGTATTTCAAATGAATGTACCCACTGTTGTCTTCTAATCGGATTAAAATCTGGCCAAATTTTGGCCGATATCAAAAAAAAGTTTGGCCGAATTTGGCCGTGAGATGGCGTGTGTTTGGCCGTGAAGCCTGTCGACTATCTGGCAACCCTGGCCTAGACTACAACAGTGCGGGTCATTCCTTTCTAAGGCTTGTTCTTACAGTCATATCTGTAAATGTCGAAGGTTTCTGAGCTGTAAGTGCAATTTGCAACACGTTTTAGGGAGTGGGATACTTTGGTGGATGATGAGTTGAAAAATTAGATCCGCGAACATCAACATTTTTTATCACTGACTGTAGAAATAATGCTTGACATTTTTGTTCTTTAAACTAAAATTATCCAATGTTAGAATACTTAGAAACATTAACGTCCTGGGGCCACATTTATAAAACTAGAAACCAGCTTAAATTCGTCTGAAGTCCATTTTTTTGCTTATGTCAAATTTATCCATATTGTTTAGCTTAAAAATTGCTTAAAATTAGAAAGTCGATTGTACGTTGGCACCATCTAAGACTATTTTTAAGCCAAGATTTTGCTAAGATTGGGTACTAAATCAGCTTAAGATATTTATAGGGACATCTTAACGTTTTTTGACTTAAGACATTTGCTAAGCTGAGATTGATAAATCCCGGGCCTGGATCTTAAAAACAAATTACTACATTAGGACCTAATGCGAAGCCTGGTGGTTGTCGTGGCAGAGCCCAGAGTCTATGGGCCGAGCTCAGTAGGCATACGTCAGGGAAACTCCTTTAGCTTATGAATTTAAGGGATCTAATCGATTTAAGAATCTAATAATTTGCTTTAATAAAGTTTTAAAATGTGTAGTATCTTTGCTGTTAGCGATCTACTGAATCCACTGTGTTCCAAACAGGACTACATGCTCAGGTAAATGACTGCAGTAGCCTAACATATTTCCATAATATGTATTACTTCACTTACTTGTTACTTGTTCCACTTATAGCTGTCATCATGTTGAAGACACTTGGCCATAAAAGAAAAATTATATTTACTCCTTTTGAATTATATTGTATATTTAGTCATGGGAAGCGAGGAGGAGAATCTCGATTTATATTTAGGATTCGTGTTAGAAGATAGACCCGCCGCCGACACGTCAGACGCGGTGGTTACTGTGCTGATAAACGATGAGCCCCTGCCGTCAGGTCAACTAAATAGATCAAGACTCGTCTTCCAAGTGGAGGATTCAAATCCTTACCAATATGAATCGGTATGAACAATAATGGGCCTTTCCGGAGTGTCAATCAAACTTAACATCTGTCCAATCAGAATTGCACCAGGAATGCGTGCGCGTGTCTAACAAGCACACGTTTTGTCCAATTATAAACCCACGTGTTTGAGGCCATTTTCCACTAGACGAATTATTCGCGCGAGTCAAAGATTTTTCGCCTATACACAGTTGTCATCACAAGATTCTTAATTGCGCATGCGTGTGGGTAAACATTTGCCTAGTGGAAACGGCCTTTAAGCTGGTTTTTCACTAGGCGAATTTATTCGCGCGAATCAAAGCGTCGGCTCGCTTCCTGAGCTCTGATTGGTTGCGCATTTTTGCGCTTCGCAAAAACTCCGATAGGAATGTGAATGCGCATGTGCATAAGCCGACGCTTTGGATTCGCGTGAATGAATTCGCATAGTGGAAAACCAGCTTTAAGCCTGTTTTTTCACTAAGCGAATTTATTCGTGCGAATCGAAAGCGTCCGTTCATGCGCATGCGCATGTACATTGCTATAGCATTTTTGGCGAAGCGAAAATAAACATCCAATAAGAGCTCTGGAAGCGAACCGACGCTTTGATTCACGCGAATAAATACGCCTAGTGGAAAACAGGCTTTACGCTATAGTTTATAACACTGATCTCTACTATTGTAGTAGAGATCAGTGGTTTTAACGCAATAAGGAGCTGTCGATTTGTGCGACGACGCCACGATAGAACGGAATCACTCATGCATGATCGTCCTACCTGGCGTCCTACGTTCTCTGCATACGTAGTCGACGAGGTGACCTTAACGTTCTCGCATTCGCAGATGACTTTTAGTGACGTCATTACGTTCTACGTCCTGCCGTCGCGACGACGCGTCGTCGTGCAATCGAAAGCTCCCTAATGTTCAAGGGGCTTGCCGGAAAAGTCCATTTATCAAATTTTCAAATTCTGAAATGTGTTTGAATTGCTTTTACACTCTTTTAGAATATAATATACGATGATTTATATTATATAATATCATTACATAGTATCAAATTTCGTATCATTGTAATATTATAGGCTTATCATCACATAGTATTACATATATCATATCACGATTCAAGATTCAAGATTCCATTTATGTATATACATATACAAGCACAGTATTATGAAATTTGTTTTCCTGAGCTGTAAATACACAAGATATACATAATGACAAGACAAATATTAACAATTTACATACAGTGCATAAAATACTAAAATTACAGTTAAATTAACAAAATACAATATATACAGTTAACAATATCTAAATGATTTTTGTACACCGAGGAGGTAAACGAGTAGAGTTCTTATAGAAAGGGAAAAAATAGACGATTAGCAGATTATCAATATATTCTATCTGGTGACTACGTTATTATATAGATGACAGGCAAAAATTAGTTTTTAAGTTCGTTTTTACACTTACACTTTGCATCATGTCCCATCATTTGTCACCCAAAGTCATGTCACGTCACAATATTGCATCGCATCGTATAATTGAATTTATATGTGTTATAAGCTGCATTACTCGAGTTAACATAATACCTAATACATACTGCATCACGACCAGTCACATTAAAAATAATTAAGACTCTTTTCTTTTTAACTAAAAAATATGCATAGGCCTATGACGCTTTGGAGTACACATTTAATTATTTAATGTATAATTGATACATTTGCAATATGTTGATATTGATATTTTATAGTATGGACCTGACATCCAAGAACCTACAATGCGTTTTAGTAGAAACGCCGGCGTTTCAGAACATTCGATACAAGTCTACTTCTATTTGTCCATACCCAAACTTCAGAATCGCTCTTATACGTTGGTTCCTAAATGGAAATCGCCACAACTTGACAGCAGCAATTTGAAAATAATAGGTATTGAGAAGTTTTTTAATGAAAATTCGATGTATGGACTCAACATACCCTGTGTGACGAGGCCAGTAACCGATGGCATTCCAGGGAGAAGCGTCGTGTTAGGTAGAATGGTGAATGCCGGTAAGTTATCAGTATGTATTTGTATTGGTGATATTTCGTACATAATAATTATAAATGTATGGATAATAATGAATATGCATTTTTATAATTGTGAACTCAAAGTTCTATAATTGTTTGCATTTAATGTTATGCATTATATATATATATATAATATATATATATATATACATATATATATATATATATATATAGTTACGCTGACGAAGTATTGAGGACAAGACGTAAAAAAAATAAATAATATATATGTACATATATATATATATATATATATATTGTCAGAGTTAAATAAATCAAGGCGTACCTCATTATATAGTTCTTTTAAATACAATGCATTGCTTAGAATTAAATGCGACATGTATAATAATGAACAAAAGGCTAAAGAAAAGTGGAAAGAGCTACAAAAAATATGGAAGGTTTTTTAAAGTAAGAACTGTAACACTTAAAATGTATATGTAATAATTTTGGGGGATGTTTAATATATTTAATATATGTCATCGTTTTGCGGTAATGCTATAAATATATATTATAATGATGCGCATATAATTATAATTATAGGCATACGTGAATAAATATAAACAATGAATAATACATATCGGCACATTACTTATTAAAAACAAGAAGAAAAAAAAATAAATAATATATATATACATATATATATATATATATATATATTGTCAGAGTTAAATAAATCAAGGCGTACCTCATTATATAGTTCTTTTAAATACAATGCATTGCTTAGAATTAAATGCGACATGTATAATAATGAACAAAAGTCTAAAGAAAAGTGGAAAGAGCTACAAAAAATATGGAAGGTTTTTTAAAGTAAGAACTGTAACACTTAAAATGTATATGTAATAATTTTGGGGGATGTTTAATATATTTAATATATGTCATCGTTTTGCGGTAATGCTATAAATATATATTATAATGATGCGCATATAATTATAATTATAGGCATACGTGAATAAATATAAACAATGAATAATACATATCGGCACATTACTTTAATATAGGAACAAATAATGTTGTAATAAATAAAGATAATAGAGTGGGGCTGACGCAGGAAGGTTGGATAAGAATTATTTCCCCTCCTCCCCAATTGAAAATGTCGAAATTTAAAAAAATCACACTCAAGTAGTCACCACACACCACATTATTTTGCGACCTATACCTCACATTTAATCACCGTGTTTTCGTGATGATTCGTGAAGGCGCTCTCCAACCATAACCTGAACGATAGCTAGATTCGAGTTTTGACCGGCAAAATAACACTTTGTTTTTTTAAATCTATTCAACTGCAGGATATAGCGCTCAGTCCTCACGCTACAACGAAATCTATGCAAAGGTAACCGTGAGCCATGAAATGTGTAACCTGCATGCAGAGGGCGCAAATGCATTTTACCTATATGCTCACTATTCTCCAACACAGTTTGTGTACGTGGAATCGAGTGTTAACTATGTTCCTGTTGAAACACAGGTAAATAATAAAGTTTTGTAACCTTATGAAAACATTCCGATGGCGTGTTGCGTCAGGAGAAATAATACGAAATGATGCTTGCACTCTGACCTGTTATAAGCCTAAGTACTGAATGCTTAGTATATTCCCGAATACTTGCGAAAAAAATCTCGCAAATGATTCGGGTGGGAATCGGAACAGTCACTCCTTAAGCCCGTTTTCCATTAGTCGGTTCATGCGCATGTGCATTCACATTCCTAACGGAGTTTTTGCGAAGCGAACAAATGCGCAACCAATCAGAGCTCAGGATGCGAACCGACGCTTTGATTCGCGCGAATAAATTCGCCTAGTGGAAAACCAGCTTTAGTGCATACCTCCGCAGTGTGCCTAAATACCGAACAATACATAGTAATACGTGTATGGGTTATTCCATTATTCTCCTTTATGGTCGCGGGTACAAAATAGAATTTTCATTACATTGACCTTTAATCATCTCTCTCTTAGATTATTATGTACCACAGCGGTGGATCCAGTAGGGGCACGAGGAGCACGTCCCCCCCCCCCCGCGTTTTGCCACTAATTTTTTTTTAATCTCAATGCAAATCAATGTTATGTGCTACTCACATACCTGAAACAGCTGTCTCTTATACCCTCACCCCGTTTAAAAAAGGTTTCGTAATCTTACAAAAACAATTATCGGATGGAGAAAAGCTACATCACATCCTGTGGTGCTTTCTACTTACGAATATGATTGATAACTCTCATAAAAGACAGATACACTGTAACGAAAAAGTGTGATTGACTTGGAAGTAAGTTGACGTAACCCTACATTTTTTTTTTATCATTTGCCTAGGATTTCGAAATCTTTCTAAATATAGCTAGGGATTCAATAACATTTTTTTATTTTTTTTTTTTTTTATTATTTTAATCCCTGTCATTAAAGTACGCAAAATCAATTTTGGTGTCGTGCTTATTTGAGAGTGGGTCTTATTCGAGCGTGACAAATTTATATTACTGTTTTACAGCTAACAGCCCATCATAGTCCGCCGGTTCTTGTAGTGGAATGTTCTCCAACAAACGATGTCTTGGTGTCAACACCTGTTGACTGCACAGTTAATGTTACATTTGCTGAATCACATACATCCGTGAACATCGACATTCAACTTACGTCGTCAGGAGATCTGTTAGTGTTCAATTTTATACTCGACGCGATCCACGTTCACACGGTCGGCAGCAGGTTGAATTTGAGCACAGATGCGTTCTCTTACCAGTTAAGCTCCTCGGAGGACGCTGCGGTGGACGAAAAACTTCTGACCAATATTGGCTCAGTGGAGCTTATAGAAAGTAAGTAGTGAATGACGCAACATTTTCAATCCGTAACAATTACTAATGGCAGGTGGGTTACTTGCGTACCTCCGTCCACGAACATTACTCCGGCCATTGAGGAATATGGTCTTTTTCATCATGCTATATTTCTCGTGATTTTAAAGCGTAAATTGAAGTTGTTCAACCAAAATGTAATGTCTAGCCATGGTTTAGATAGAGGGGTCAATTCCCTCTCATCCATCTATATAAGATATGCTAATGCGTATTTACTGTGTACCTGAACTTGTCTAATTCTGTTCATTCATTGCTTAGAGGGGGGTTGATTGTTGATTTTTATTATTTTAATGTTGTACCAGATGCCATTTTTGGGGGTGGGAGGAGTGGGAGTAGCACCTTTTATTCCGCGTACAAATAATTCGTCGCTCACATCACGAACTAACACAATTAAATTCAATTGTGTTAGTTCGTGAAATCAAAAAAGCGCGTCAAAATACGCACTGCTGTCGTTAAGGACTTTTTGTGTGGTAAAGAATACAAAATTGCTTGACAACCAATACGCGCTCGTTTTGACGCGCAACTGTGATTTCACGAACTAACACAATCTACTTTGATTGTGTTAGTTCGTGATGTGAGCGACGAATTGTTAAGGAACAATTATAGTCAACATTTCATCGCTAAATAAGTTTACCCAAACTGCACCTGGGCCATACACTTATACTCTAATCTTGGTGGCGGCCTATACCACCTACTTGTGTATGTACACAATGTATTGTTAAATAAAAAGTACTACCCCACGCGATAGGGGGGCGCCGTATTACAATTCGAAACTTGCCTGTTGAAGCACGCCCTCTATTTTGCGGTAGTGCTTTTTGAAATAGGATTACATTCCAACTAAACCCCAAGAGTTGGACCTCTTACATTTACAGATACATGTGCGAGAGGATGGCAATTTAATGGTAACAAGTGCTACACGTATGCTGGTAATGCATCTTCTTATAGTAACGCAACCCGAATGTGTAATGATGTGAACGGTACTATAATATCCATTTTATCCGAGCATGAAAATACATTTGTAAGACAATTTGTGAATAACAGCAACGGTAGTCTGGTCATATGGCTTGGAATAACAGACTTGTCGGTAGAGGGCGATTGGAGGTGGGCCGATGACAAAGATGATTCCGTCTACTCAAGTAAGTTTATCAAAAGATATTAACAAAATTTTACTGACATTTCAAAGTGGTTCACACATGACAAACTGTTATCGTAATCCAATGAACACACACTATATATAATGAGACTTCTCACTACATCACAAGGAAGTTTATAGTTCATGTCAACACTTTTAAAAGAAATAAGAAAATGGTCACATGACTTGGTATCACTTAGACATAAGTAATGTACTACCGAGTTTCGTCATGATACCACGTGATACTACTCCGTTGCTATCGGCGACACAAAATGAGTTCAACCGATGCCATTTTCTCCACTGACAAACCATTGACCCCAATTTCTAACATAATTATTAAGAAGTTGTATCTTAATTTTTCTTTGTAAATGTTAATTGATGATTAAATGTGTGTTCGATAACTAATATAATGCTAGCTTTTTGTGTTTTAGTACATTTTGAAGTAAAATTATTAGGTTTTAAAATGCCTATTCCAAAAAGCCTATCCAAAACCATTATGAAGTCATTCAGGCGTAATGAACGGTAGCCAACGTCCAGAGGGCGCCACCTGGTGTTGTGACGACACGACTGTGGTACTCCGTGTATGAAGCCACAGCAAAAGCATTTAAAATAAAATCGTTAGTTAATTGCAGCACTTAAGGCCTGGCTCCCGAAGAAAAATATATGTTGTACAGAAACATTGTTGTACAGAAACGGTTAATGGTTTTTAAATATTTAAAAACTGGAAACAAAAGGGGAGTAACCACCTTTGTACTCTCCTTGTATTTCAGCTGAAGTGCTGAAATGCAAGTTACGATAGCGCACCGTCTTTCAGATGAGACGTTTAAGCCGTTGGTCCTGTGGGCATTGTGGCCCGTATGTGCGCGTTAAAGGACGCAGTGCACACTCTTCGAAAAAAAAGTAGGGGATTGTCTTCCAGTGTACTACCCAATCACCACCAGTAGGACCCCACTGGAAATAGGTCTTCTTACTTCCGACTTTCGTGGGTTAACCTTGATGTTTGAACCATATATCCATCCATCCGTCCATCCAAGAGGTCCTAATATAAGCCTATGACATTTTACATTAATTGTTGATCGAATTTAGATTGGCAGACACTGAAGGCATGTGATTGGACAACGAACTGTGCAGTTATTGATGTTAATGGAACATGGACTTTCAAACAATGTGAAGGACTTGATTTAGACATAGCTGTTGTTTGTGAACAAGGTATGTGTTCTAAGGACCGGTGCGTAAAGGCCAATTCAGACAGCGTCGGCCGACGCAGCCCGACCCGATTTATCATCGGGGACAGTCTTGAGCAGTCGGGAGAAATATTAAACATGTTTAATATTCTACGACGCGACTGCCCACGACGCACACCATCGCGTCTGCGTTTAACTCACACAGACCCGACGCGACAACAAATCGCGTCGGGCTGCGTCGTACGACGCTGTCTGAGTTGGCCTTAACGCACTTTGACGTACAACAGTCGTACAACCGTCGGCAAAATTATTTTGTACTTCATGATTTTTATATCGTGTTAAAGTTTATTTTCAGTTGCCTGTATGATATTATTTGTAATGTAATTTATCAATTTAATTTTGATCAAGAAATCGTTGAGAAAGCTCAGCAGACATCCTTTTGTATGGACTTCTCATTTATACCGCTGTCATCACCACAGGACTTTATCAATATAGCTGTTTTAGTAAATAAAGACGGTCTTATAGAAAATACCACTACGCAGGTCTCCATCAGGCGTGACGCATCATCGAGGCCGGTATTACAGCTGACCTATGAATTTAATTCTTCAGAAAGTTATAATCTTGGGTAAGTATAAAATGCTAGTATCGTTGTCACCCTGGCATGATGGCCCTATTGTTGTAAATTCTAAAACTAGTGTAGGACCTACCGTACTATAGATTACGGACTCATAGAATAGGCCACCATGTTTCTAATGGGTCCACAAAGAATTGGTCCACATATTTAAAAATGGGTCCAAATTATCAATTTTATACCGCAGGACGCGAGTACAAGCCGAAACAAGAAAGCAAACACCGGATTGGATGGAAATTGTCATTTTATTCAATGACGAAAAACAATTTAATATATAGATAACTCAAAACGTGTAATGGGGCAGCCACCCATTGATGTCGTTATATTAGCTAAACATTTTATAGAATGGGAACATAAGGCTGCCCCTAAAGATTAAGTATAAAGAGTATATATAAATATAAGATTAAATATAAAGAGTATATATAAATATATAAGATAAATATAGAGAATGACTATATAAGTTCAGACTGTTACATTCGACATACACCTGACACGTGATCAATACATAAATACTTCAATGGCGATTACAAATAAATCGTACATGAAGAGTTGTAAAACGTTAATTTAACAAATTAAGCATCAAATCAATATACCTAAAAACTAATTAATTACTAACAATCTGGGTGCACACGCACATACCTAGTGCACTGATATATATGGAGGAAGCAGGGGAGGTTGGCGGGAAAATCAAAGTGGTGTGCGAGGCTTGGAAGCAAAGCCGCAAAGAGAGGATTCACATGTCTAATGCAAACTATTAAATTACCCCTCAAACCAGAACAAATATAGCGCCTCTACAAAATTGCCAAGTATACGCCCTCCCACGACATAAATTCATTTTTCTATATTTTTTCGAAAAATGTGTTTTATGCTTAAAAATAGTATATTTTTTGAAAAATGGGTCCAGATTTCTCATATTTAGCCTAAAATTGGAAAGTTTTTAAGAAAATGGGTCCAGAATTTTTATATTTTTGCGAATGGCACTTGGAATGGAAAGCGGATACATTGAAGACTGTCAAATAACATCATCAGAAGCTCCAGATGAAGCTGCGCCTGCGCACAATGCCCGGTTGAACATGCCAAATACAGGTACCCTATAATTAATAATTGTTGATGTTGTTTTTTAACTATTATTGACATTAGAAGATATCTTTGGTTGGTTAATGTAAAAATGTCAAACTAAAAAAAATACTAATTTTATTTCGTCAAAGACCAGTATGTTTTGTTAGGTTTTTGATTACAATTTACTTTTTTTTTTCTTGTTACTATAAATGTTATTGTTTTTGTTACTGTTACTATAGCTGTTAATAAAGAAGCGGTGAAGAGTATTGCAATAGCGCACGTCTGTGTGAGGGTGTGTGTGCAGTGGCGTATCTAGAAGTCTTGAAATGGGAGTGCTGCGATGGGGGAGGGGGCGCGAAGATGAAGTGGGGGGGGGGCCTCGATGATCAGTTGAGGGGCGCTGTTCGCAGAATAAGTTGATTTTAGGTGATTTTTAACTACTTGACTGTGATTTCTGCGGGGCGCGAGTAATTTTTTGGGGGGGGGGGGGCTTGCGCCCGCTGCGTATCCCCTAGATACGCCACTGTGTGTGTGTGTGTCTATGTATCTTCCGGGCGCATAACTTAAAAACTACTTATAAATTATTCACACCTTGAAAATGTTACATTTATCGTGGTCCTCCTTGTTATTGTTGTTATTATTATTATAACCAGTATTTTGTTATCAGTACCGGTATCATAATACTAATATATATTATAGTATATATATATATATAATATAATATAGTATATATTTGCTATCTATCTTCCGATAAGTACAGACCTCTCTGAAGTGAGGATCATCGTACTTGAAGAGGCGTGGACTAGCTCGTGCAATAACTTTCTACTCCCCATAGGGTCACTTCGTGTCTGAGATACGGTACCCGGTACACCGGTACCAATAACTCTAGTCTGTCCACAATAGGGGCTGTATGGACCGGGTAACCCCCCTACTCGTCTCGAAAGATGTACTGGGTTCTTTTTAGTGCGCATTAGCCAACTGTACACTGGGCCTAAGGTTTATAGTCCATATCCGAGAAGACTTTTTCACCTCCAGAACCATAAGCGAGCTTGCCGTTCGAACCAGTGCCGAATTTATGGCTGTACGTTAGCCCTTGACTTGACCGCTCCACCATTCGATTCGCCTAACCATTGTACTATTAGTAAAGCAATATTCCCAAGATAATATAAAACATGCAATAGGCTGTAATCAAATAAGTATTGTCTAATTGCAGCTTGGAAAATATATGGTCAACATGGCATTGCTACCCATGACACTTGGCTTGCTATCGACCTGTTGCGTAACGCCACTATCACAAGTATAGCAACACAGGGCGGCTCTCGAGTCGGAACAAGTAATGATTTTGAAGGAACAACGGGCAGTTTTCAATTTCTTTACGGCACTGAAAGGGACGTCTATATGGTTGCCACTCCTAGAATACAGGTAAATTATTATGTCCTGATACCCGATACATACTGTAATGTAATGTATTGTTAAATATTATGGGTTTTTTGGCTATTTTCTCATGGTATCTTTAACAGCAAAACGTACGTCAGTTTGTACGTGTTTGTGACATATGGCTATGGCTTAAATAACACAAGTTTTGATTGGTCACTTGATTGACACAAAGTTCAAAGGATTATTTTGGAGAACGTTTTTACTGCTTTGGCATTTTTTTCAACTACAGATTTCAAATACCCATACACATATTTTCAGTTTTTCTATGATGTCATTTCTTAATCTGTTCTGTTTTTTTAAATTAATTTCTAGACGGATCCCAATCATAGAACTTATTTCGAACACGCAATACTAGACCCTAGTGTCGTGAAACACCACTATCTTCTCACCGCAGTCGATGCTCGCTATGTGCTTATCAAATTAGAGAGTTACTGCTCACAGAACTTTAACAGTTTAAGAATAGAATTATTTGGTTGTTATTACGAAGAAAATGGAGAACAAACGAATAAAGGTAATTATAAAAGAAATAATGGAGTGAAAATGCGGTTCGTTCACATGATTGTTGATGAAACGCTAGAAAGGTCAGGACGATTCAGTGTACTCTCTCTTAAGGTGCATTCACATTGATTCTGAATTTTCGGATAAGAAAGCCTACAGAGTGTAAGAATAGGGAGGCTGGTGTAAGCGTTTCGGAAAGGCGGTCCGAATTTCGATTCGGATCCGATGTAGATGCAGCGTTAATCCGAATTTAGAGTATACAACTTTTATTGATTTTGTAAAAGAAAATCAAAGATCTTATAAACACAAGATAGCGTTCTCCGCGATTTACGCGTGCAAATTCTGTAATAAGGCATGAATGGCGCCCTCTTGCTAAATTGGAAACTTTTGACCTTTGACCGCTATGACCATACCGTACTGTGAACAGCAGAACAGGAACCATCTCAAATCCATGGCAACAGATAGGACGCCCTCTTCCAAAACTGATTACTTTTTCTCTTTGGTATAATAGTGCATGAATGACGCCCTCTTGCTAAATTGGAAACTTTTGAACCTTGACCGACGCTTCTATTTGTTACGCGTAAATCGCGGAGAACGCTATCTTGTGTTTATAAGATCTTTGAAGAAAATGTACAAGAAGTGAGTTCGCTGTTGGACAGTTCATATAAAACAAAATCACTACAAGTACACAGTATGAATATTTAAAAGAACAGTATATAGCAGAACAACAAAGTATTAATATTAATAAATTGTTACTGTTGACATTGTGTATATTTATAATGCCAATTTTTATCCTCTTTCCAAATAATTCAAAACTATTTTTCAGCCTGCCTACTAACAGATTTCGTTTAGTATAGGTAATATATTTAGAGTACTACAAATAAATTATTTGTTTTCCTTTACAAATCATTGCTATATTTAGAATGTTACAACACCGATTCACAATGGTCAAACATCAATGAAGCGGACAGAGGGTTCATGGTGATGGATGGACAATTGTTCGTTTGTAATTCACTGCCCCTAAGGTTAGAATATACAGATACAGCAGCTGGAAAAAGATGTTATTATTTGTTTACAAGGTATGTAATGTTCTGTATGTGTGTGTTTGAAGGGAATAGCAGCTTACAGCAATATGCGCTATAAGTTGAATTTTATTATTATTATTATTATTATTTATTATTATTTATTGATATTATTATTGTTATTATTTATTGTTATTATTATTATTATTTATTGTTATTATTATTATTTATTGTTATTGTTAATATTATTGTTATTATTACTTTAATATACATAAAAATACAAAGAAACCAAAACAAAAATTAAAAGTAATATATATATATGTATATATATCAACATTAAATAGTCTAAATACAATGTTTCTTGCGTCAATTTTCGCTATGTAATACCCTTGTTCTTTTTCATTCAGTCATAATTGGTTAGGTTCATATTGCTTACAACAATCCGATAGCAGTAGTTGGTCGCGTAAGTACTGAGTATATATTGTACGATTATACATAATAATAATTATTATTATTGTTAGAATGATATGCATTTTAACGGTCCATTCATTAGTTTTTCGTAATTATCATAAGTATTATTGATTTTATTTTTATTACTGTGACCTATTCACCCAAAAATTTAATCCACTCTTCTTAGACTAATATTCACAACTGCGCTAAATTTGATGGTGATTCATTTAGTATAGTTTTGCAAATCTTGCTATCAAGCAGACAAACAGACGGCGGTGAAATACATGACCTCCTTAGCGGATGTAATAACATTAAGAAAACAACAATTGATGTTGATGTTGTTGAGAAGTGGCAATGATAATGACGATGATGACAATATTATTATTAATAATAGGCTACTACTAATAATAGTAGGCTAATATTACATTGTATACTTGGGAAAAAACACTGAATGTTTTACAGTTGTTCAACAAATTGAGATCAGCTTCACCTTTTCTGCATTTTTTGAGAAGTTTTACTGTCATAACTGTTGTAACTCAAATCATGAATAATAGATCCAAACAATCGAGAGGGTATAATAAACAACACATTTTGAAAGCAATAAACCAAGATTTAATCAACATGTTTCTACTTTATCACACAGTCATCTTCAGTAAGTAAACTAAAAGAACTATATAAGCTGACTTGGCTATTTCTTGAACAATTACATTGTAATTACAATGATACTGAATACATGTCGTTTAGTTTATGTTTATTATAAACATTTTGTATTAAGGTCTATCAACAGATGTCAACATGCTCTTAGGCTATGAGTCTCAGTCTTTCGTTATATACGGCACACGGAACTCACGACACAATAAGATCATAATCAGAAGCATCGATAGAGGGCGCAGCTGGCAGACGATAAGTTTGTGGAAATATTTAGGTATAAAATCATCGGCTACATTTGTACCAATAACAAGTGTACCTTCAACATCAACAGATGATATGAATTGGTTAAACCCTTCGAATATTTTGAATGATTACATCAGCGAAAATAGAGGTGGTAAGAAATAATGTTGATTTTTCTACTCCACCACTACAACAAACCGGCAACAACTACCTGCTACAATTCTAAGTCGCTGCTGCTGCTATGATGATGGTGGTACTGGTACTGGTACTGCTTCTGTACACTTACTGCTACTACTTTACTGCTACTATAACTATCATAACGATTTTACCTACTGATACTAGGCCTACAGTTGCTGCTGCTAAAGTAGAGTCTCCTACAACTACTGCAGCTACTACTGCTGCTGCCTACTGTACTGTTGCTGTGCTACTGCTATTGTACCACTATCATTGTACTGCCACTAATACTACTGGCACTTACTACTACTGATGTTGCTACTACTACAGTGCTTTTGCATATGCCGCCATATGTTAAGTTGTATGGTTTTGTATGTTTTGATGAAATATCTGATGTGACATATTTTGTTACTGCTAGAATATTGGTTCGAATTTAGGATTAATGTGTTTAATATTGTGTTTCTTTAGCATCATATGACGGTCTGTATGAGTTCAAGGATAACACATGGCATAAGATTCTCGACTGGAACCAGTGCTGCATACAACCAACCACTACTATGACGCAATCGTGTGTTATAGATTAATAATTTTCATGTTCATTTAAAGTCAAAGGGATTATATTTTATATTATATTTTTTTTTTTAAGTACCGTATTTTACAATAATACATTAGGAAAACTGTAATGCTAGTCAGATGATTGTTCTGAATTTAATGTGCCTTTCTTTCTATGAATATTATAGACGAACATGAGTACAAACAAGTTAGTTAAAACTGTGTATCACCGTAACTGTCTTAGAGAATCGGTGCTTCTCTTAAAATGGATGAAACTTCTCAGGGTGTATATTTTTGAATTATTATGATACTTTATTCTGTTTTCTGCGTTTGTCATGTTCTTTTTTAATTATATATGACTTTTAAAATACAAAATTAGGGTCACATGGTTACATATGACATGTAATATGTAAAGGTAATTAAAAAATTGTAGAATGAATGACAATTATAACAAATTTAATATTCTATAAATCATTCTCAACATATTCTATTACAATTTTACTCCAGTGCAATTACATTTTCCTAACCTTTATGATCATACAAACACATTTTGACTGTAATTATGTGTTGTAGTTCCACATTTGCAGTGAAAAAGCTCCTTTCTCAAATAAAGGCTGTTTTGGCAATTCTAATCCGATTAGAGCAAAAAATAGTCTTATAGGCCTATACATAAATATAGGCTACAGTACCGGAATTTATATTCAAGACGTTCCCAATACACATTTTACAATTGTGGGTTTATAATTGTATTACAATAACAAAAATAATTAATTTAATATCATAACAGTTTTTGTACGTTAATTTCAAGTTAGTATATTCATTTAATACTATAGTTGTATATAAAATGTGCATTAGATTATATCTTATTAAAACAATAAGATGAATGTAGCAATCGTGTTTTTTATTGTTATAATTTTCAGAAAAGAGTACATATACTGCTCCTCCCCCACACTTCCCCCACCAACCCTAGCGTATGTTCTGGTTCTGGTAGGGAAAGCCGACTTCCAGGGACCCCAAAATATGATACCAGGCGGGTAGTGATGATCGAATGATATGAAAGGTCTACCACCACGCAGTATAAGACGCACAGCGTCCGTGATCATGAGCAGGCTTGCCGTACCGCCCCAGGCCCAAAGGACCTGAATGTTTTGTATTCTTATCAAAATAATGGATGACCCCTTTAAACATACTGTCTAGTAAAGTGTACTGATTAAGTGGAGCAAATGAATTAATATGACCTGCTGTGGGAATAAAACGGACAAACTTTAGTGGCATGCGCTTATTATAAGCAAAAAAAAGTACATATGGCATTACCATGAGTTAGCTGTCACTAGCTAATGACAGCAAAAAATTGGAATCTTGCTAACGCTCGGACGATACCCCACGGGAGAGAAGATTAATGCCTGGATGTTACTAATAATCTTCCTGTCACGATCGTGTTTATCTCATCATAATTATTATTGTATATTAATAAAGCTATGATAAATTATGTATTGAATGATTCCTCTGGGGAGAAATGCGTGAAATTTAACAATGAATAATTGATATGCTAATACACTTACCGCCGTTTTACATTTGGTATGATAAAGAAAACTGCTGTGAATTGTGTTTTTGTGCATGATTTATGCTTTACATAGTGTGGGTGTTTAGTGTAAACTACATAAAGAGGGTGTCGCGATGTAAGCACATGCAGTACAGTAATCAATGGCGTATCTAGGGTATTAAAACGGGGGACTGATATGGGGGTCGAAGGTAAAAATGGCATCGGCTGGTGCAGATGATCCCATTATTTAACGCCTAATAAATATAAACATATAAACACGTTGCAAATTTAAATTTAAATATCATAGAAAATAATTTGCTAACTTTTACCAATGATCACTTTTCGATGTTGTTAATGAGAATCTGATCCTTAGGTCCCAATACTTTGCTGGTAATAAACCTTCTATTAATCACAAAAAAATGCAGCTTCATTCTGTTTAGGAGCCCTCAAAAGATTCCTCCTCCCTCAATATTTGCATAGATAATTTCAAAATACCTTCTGTTGAAAGTGCTAAATTTCTTAAAGTTTTCCTCGATAGTTGCCTTACATGGAAGACTCAAATTAATGAGATTGAAAATAAAGTCTCCAAAAACCTTGGTGTCATTTTTAGATTGTCCTTATTTATTCCTTTAATTAATATATTACGGATTCTTTATTGCTCTTTGATTTTACCCTATCTGAGCTATTGTAATATTGTCTGGGCTAATACTTACCCATATAATCTTCATAAACTCGTACCGTAATTCTTCAAAAGAAGGCCATCAGGATTATATCTGGCGCACCACCGAGTTCCCACTCTTCTTTATTTAGTAATCTAAACCTTAATTTTAACGATATTAATCTTATACAACAATATGTCTTGTTATGTTCTTCTGTTAATTGTCTACTTCCTAATCATTTTTACCATATCTTTAAGTCTAATCTCTCCCTGCATGAACATTTCGCTCGATCCAGGCATTTAATTCATATTCCAAATCATAGGACAAATTACACTTTCAATTTAATATTCGATTTTCTGGTCCTAAGTTATGGAACGACTAACCTCTCTCAATTGTTAACTGACATTCAATAAAACAATTTTCTACTAAAATGAAAAAACACCATATTGCCAAATATCAATTACGCTCCTATATTCAATTCATTCCATCCCTGTTTTCAATTGACTTTTCGGTTCAATTTCTTGTGATTCGTCGTCTTGTCTTTTTTTTTTTTTTTTTTTTTTGTCTTTTCATTTTCTGTTACGTTTTGTTTTGTTTTTCAGTGTTCTCTTGTCTCTTGTGTCCAGGCTGGCCCAATACAAGGTTATTGCTACCTTCTCGGGCATTTGCCTTCTTCCCTTTGTATTATGTAAGTTATTTTATATTATTATTGCTGAATTTGTAAGTTATTTACTTATTTAATTCTATTATTGCTGAATTTGTATAATTATTATTACTTTGTATGCTAATTGTTTATTATCTTCTGCAGTATTATACTCTCTAATAATGTATAACTTCTTGACCTCTTGCTGTCAGGACGATTATGATATCCATTAGGCCACGGAGACCTATTGGATATTAACGTGCAAATTCAACCCCCATGCACTTTCTCTCATACAACTGACTAGAACTTGATATTATTCAATTGGCTACATATTTGAAAATGGCATATTCTTATTTTAATTTACATTGAAGCATTATGAATTTTCTTCGATATTGTGACTTTTCGGATATTTTTTGTCACACTTTTGACGCACAAAACCCCATTTCGCTAAGCACTGCTCCTTGGATAATTTTGATAAGATTCAGCAAAACGACAGCGTACTGTAAACGTAACAGTTTGTAGGACATGCGCGATTCATGTTCCTCCTTTTGATTGGAAAATTCAACGCATGAATTTATGTTTTGATCCTGAATTCACAATAAGCGTACAAGCAGCGTTAAGCCCTTTCCAGCCTATCAAATTTGATGCTGCATGCCTAAATATTGCCATGATGACATCACATCCTGACCATATATAGGCACATCATGACTATATATGGTCATGATGACATCACATCCTGACCATATATAGGCACATCATGACTATATATGGTCATGATGACATCACATCATGACCATATATAGGCACATCATGAATATATATGGGCATACAACAGTTTTTTATCAAAGAAAATTTGATAGTGCGGACAAAGCTTTAAGCAATTTTATGCCAAGTAATTTTTGGGCACTTGACCAACGTATAGAAATATAAATCAAAAAGTTATGTGGGCGGACAATGTGTAGGTCTGCGACTCCCCAATAAAATTAAATAGGGTCATAAATATTATATTCAAATAGCCTTGTCAAAATAATATATATTATTTGAAGGTTAACTAAATGGATTGTATTTCACAACTTCTAAGAACTAACTTCAATACTTGTAAATGAGCAAATAAATGGTTCAGCTTGCAAGTCTAAGGGGTGTCATTTTTGTAACAATGTACTTTTTAAGGGGAGCTGTTGCTTTTCGGTCCAGTTGCATATCTAGGAGTCTTTAAGTGATAGGGGAGGTTCAATGATTAGGTGACTAGCTCGCAGAATAAGGTGATTTGAGATGATTTAAACTACTTGAGCGTTGGGGGAGCGAGTATATTTTCTAGATACGCCATTAATCTTGGTTAAAATGCTTGCTTCCGATTCAGGATTATTGGTTCAAATTATATGTCTCGTGCAATTCGCTTCTCTTTTTAAATATGACATTTTTGTACGGTTTCTCTTGTTTATATTAGTATTTGAATAGAAAAATTGCGATACAAAATTTAATAGCAATGTATATCATTGTGTATAGAGGGATTTCTGGGTGTACCTGCCTGTAAGAGAAAAAAAATATATGCATTTATATATTCATATACATATTTATATATATATATATATATTCATATATAAATATATGTGTGTGTATAAATAATATGCATGTGCATTATTTTTAGGCCTGAGATTTTACTCTGCTCTGGTTAATTTTAACTTATTTTAGCTATACGGTTCATTCAAAATATCTTGTCTCTCTGCTCTTACTGCTTATGTTATTAGTTTAGAATTTTGTGTGATTGCAATCGTATGTAATTAGCCAGAAAAATTCGCCTATAATACAGTATGTAATTAGACTTCACTGAATTAAGAATTTCTCAAATAAGCTTAAGTATGAATCAAGTACCTGACACAGCACCAAGTGAATACATATACATGACAATTTTTTTTATTTTTGTTTTTTTATTTTTTATTAGTAAAAAAAGCAGTGGTGAAAATGTTGGACATAAAAATTTTTTTTAATCATTTTTGCATTTTTTTTAACGAAATATCTTTCTCTGGCAAGAAGCAACAGCACTGCTATTTAACCCTGCACCTAATATATTATATAACAAGGTATAAATAACTTATATATACCAAGAACAAAGTGTTGATATTGCACAGTATAATGACCTAATGGCGTACACGGCCGGCTTAAGTGTAAACTACACAACTAAGATGCATTTAAGAGACATTAGAAGAAATCGTTGCTCACAAGTAATGTGGGCGTATGCCTATCACCACTTATTCATTTTTGAATTCATTTTAAAGCAAGCTTGAAATAATAGCACCTTTAAATTAGGATATATAGGCCAAACTAAATCATAATCCTTACTCACCATCATATCATATCTTAGGCCTGTGAAACATTGATTATAATGTACCTGACGCCCTTTAAAAATTAATAAAATGTAGAGTAATCTCATCAAGGTTGGTGAATATGCAAACTACAAGACGATAAAATTCGTGGAATGACGTCATAGTGTAAGATTATGAGAATTAGCAATAGATTTAGTAAATATTATGATATTAAAGCAATCAATATTTAAAAACCAAAATATGAATATAAAGTGTTGTAAATTGCAAGGAAATTCACCTTGCTATTATATTATCTTATGGTCTATATTCATGGTAAAAAAAATAATATTTTAACCATTATGACGTCATGAGACAAAATAGTAATGATTTACGTAATTATAACCATGATACAATATTCTTATTAAAAGAAATGTGATTTTTATATTGCATTTCATTTCATAGCTTTTAGCATATTTAAGCGGCACAATCCAAGCTGAACAGCAATACAGCGGCATTATATAGGCATATGCAAAGCTTTTTTAAGAAAATTTGTTAGGCCTTAAACCGAAAAAAATCTTCGAATAAATTAAGTACAGTCTTCAATCAAAAAAAAAAACCTTGTCCATAATAAATCATTCGAAATACAGAAAATAATCATTTCTATGTAAAACTATAAATAAATTATCTCATATTTATATATCCTCAACAAATTAACAGACTTATATTGTTAATACATTGACTGAAGTATTGTCAACATTATTCGATAGCATTGGCGTGCAGACAACAAGACTGGTATTCAAGGTGCAAACTGTAGGCATATACGAGGTAGCATAATTAACCGTTATTTTGATAACTTAATAAGCCTAGTAGAAATCGAGGAGATTATATTGATCGCGCTACAATAATACTTAAACAAGAAAAATCGCAGCATACATTGTTGATGTGGGTGTTAGATATATTTAGATGCAATTCTGAGGCTATTGTATTGGTACCGTTCTATTACTAATTCCTTCCTTACAAGTACCCAATTATTATTTTAATTATAACTGTATAACCATATATGTCTACGGTTCTGAATAACATTTTTAAACGGATTTTTTTAGAAAATTGATTGTTGATAGATAGATAGATTGATCAATTTATTGACTGATTTATTGAATGATTGATTGATTGATTCACATAAAGAATTACGTAAGATAAGTACAATACATCCATGATTGAACAAAATTCAAAAATAAATAATAGGAAGAAATTCGTGGAGGCCATCGGCCAGCAGTGGCCTGAACAGCTGATGACGACAGTGATGAATTCGTGAACAATCCATCATAAATATATACCCTGTTTTCGGCTTTACATTACATTATTTCAAGCAGTTATTCGCATCCATACATAAATATATATACAATAGGAATCAAATTTGTTTGTGAATTTCACAAACTGTATCACTTTTGAGCATAAAAATAGTAATAGGTAAAACAAAAATGTTATAATAAATAGATAATTAGTTAAATAAATAAATAAATAAAACTATATATAAATAGCATGCTCATTAAGATATTTTATGCGATTTTAGAGGGATAGAAAGTAAATGGGCCTGATTACTTATTAATTCCACGCCACTGGAAATTTCAGATAAGCCCAATGAATGATTCATAAATAGTTAATAAATAACAATAAATATTAAATAACTATATATTTCTTTGGTATTCAGCTCAGATGAAATTTAAAAACCTTTAAACTTGCTCCTCACGTTTGTATTTGATTGCAACAAAGGCTGAAAAGGTAGGAAAACGTATACAGCAAATCACGGTTAACCATGAGCAATTTTTAACCTGTTTACATCAGCCGCTAGATCTAATGTATATCTGTTAAGCTCTCTTAAAACAATAAAATCCCTCTTGTTAATTTCCTCGTCATCAGCATTTGGACTGAATACCAGAGTAGCAGCTATCGGGACCTGATTGACACCAACCAGGTTTTTCATACTCATCTGGAAAATATAACGAATAATAATACTTATCATAAGGGTAATAATAATAATAATAATAATAATAATAATAATAATAATAATAGTTATAATTATAAAGGTAATAATAATAAAGGTAATAATAATAATTATTATTATTATAAAGGTAATAATAATTATAAAAATAACAATTATAATTATTATAAAGGTAATAATAATAATAATAATAATAATAATAATAATATATGTTGAAGCTTGCGGTGTAACCACGTGAGTAACTCTAAAAGGACCGTTGTAGTTGAGAAAGTCTCAACTCAAAGTCTCTTTGAGACTCTCTCAACTACAACAGTTCTTTTCAGAACTACCCACGTGGTGTACTGTAAGCTTCAACATATATGTTATTACTTCGCCATGCAAACCTTCAAACAAAAATAATAATAAAGGTAATAACAATTAACACAATAATAATTACTATAAATGTAATAATAATAATGATAACAATAATATTAATAATATTTTTTTTGACAGCCACGACAGACGTAGAAGTAATTAAATATACATAGTGGCAATCTTATGTAGACCCTACATAAACTTTCCACAATATAATAATGTAAACATTTGTACAGATGAACTATTGGTTGGTTGGTTTTTGATCGGTGTGAATTCAGCAAATTTTATTTTAATAATATATATATACATATATATATATATATATATCTATATCATATACATATATAGGCCTATATATATATATATATATATATGTATGTATATATGTATGTATGTATATAGGTTGTAAGCATTTATTCTATAGGAGTAGGTACAATGACGTAGCCAGGATTTTCAAACAGTGCGGCGGGACAATGTCAGGGTGGACACACTTTACGCGTAAATTCAGATAATGTGGACCCATTTTCAAAAATATGAAAATTCTGAACCCATTTTCTTAAAATTTCACCAATTTTGGCTAAATATGAGAAATATGGACAAAGTTTTAAAAAAGTGGACTCATTTATGCATAAAACTGTATAATTTGGACCCATTTTTTAAAATATGGACATTCTTTGTGGACCTATTAGAAAAATTGTGTGGGACTGTCCCAACTGTCCCAGTAGCTGGCTACGGCATTGAGTAGGTAACACCTAAAAATTGTAGGCGCCTCTACGTGTTTAAACAGATATATTAGACCAGTACATAGTGTTTATTATTCATTGGGTTGCCCGTATCTGGGTCACAGAACTGACAGAATCAAGAATTGAATGATTACCAACAATAGGACGCCCTCTAACATTAACTTAAACCGCAATGTAGTTCTTGTATAATAATGCAACGGTGTGGACGTTATTAAGAACGAATTAAATAATACCGGTTTATTATCGATAATCGGGTGGTTTGAGGTCTTTCGTAAAACAACCACATAATATCAAAATGAAAATGAGAACGAAAGTACTGTCCCTCCAAGGTAGATCTCACTTTGTATATATATACACACACAGACATAGTTTAAAGGTTACCTCTTTAGTTCCAGTATGGGGGTATCCGTCACATATCGTAAATGCTATGAACTAAAATTTTTGCTATTTTATATGAGGTCAATAATCTTTTTCAATGATATTTAATTGGAATAAAATGCTATTCAGACATCCATTATCGAATAATAACATAGTTTACTAAGAGCTTAACAAAGTCAATGACAGATATTGCTTAATGGAAAATACCATGGCAGGGTGGGAACCCCTCATTTGATAAACAAAATTCCGTCAAAATGACGACAGATCCGCATTCCACTAATTTGTCAAGGAAACATGACACGGCTATTGAAAATTACCTAATCCGACTCAAATACTGAGGGTCAAATAAGTGCTCTTGAGTCGGTATGATTCAAGTCAAAAAGATATCTTTTTTTATAATTATATATATTCCAACTACTGAATGAGCATGTAGAAATCTGAGACAAGAATAACTAAGCATATTGTCTTTTTATTGTTCTTGACACCAAATGTTATTGCAACACCGAGTCCATTGGGTAGTAATGATTGGTAATGCTTAAATCGGAAGTAAGGCTTATCGATGCGCGTGTAATGAATGAAAACAATATCAATGAGAATTAAAGACTGCGATAGTATACAAGCAGAACCGTTTAAACACGAAAGTTAATTGGCGATTATAGTTAACACTAATATTTACATGTATGAAAATGTTAGAATTTATATTTTATAAACTGTCGCTGATTGATATACTCAATTTATCTCCAGTGTACGATTTCAGTACCAGTGGCGCGGAACAAGTTAAAAAGGGCTAACGCTTATTTGCTAACGTTCTACTTCCGTTCGTTGCATGTGGGTGGTACTGGAGTTACCGTGCTTAGAGAATCGGAGTCTTTCGAAGGTTCTTTCTACACTACTAGCCACGATACACACTGATACTGATTGTGTGAGCTTCAGTTTAAACGTTATTGCACAATAGATGAGTCATAAAAATAACATTTTTCTATTATTTTGAATTAATACGGATGACCTTTTCCACACGGTACCAAGAATAGGTGTAAAGTCATTAGGAAAAAATACAAATTCAAGACTAATTTTTCGTAACACATTATTGTATCAAATCGCATTATGTATCATGAATAGGTCTAATTTTCATATAATACATCCTGAGAATTTGATACCGTGTTTTGCAATTAAATAACCCACAGAAACACAATAAGGAAAGACACCAGGATATAATAATGTCATCCCACATAACAACCAATTCAACGTTTATTATGTTTTAAGTATTCTATATCAGTCGCGCGCATTGATACATTTACGGCCTTATGGCGTTTTTCTATGGACAGCCTATCATCCCACTCCAACCTATCGATTCTGGTTTGAGTACAGCTTACTCCCTCTAAAAGTTAGTTTGATTTGGAAGTGTAGCTTGACACTTACTTTTCAGTCCTAGTGTCTTAAGTTCAAATTTCCAACTCCGGAAGCCTTGTTGTGGGGTTTTACAAGACAACACATTAATTTATTTAGGCCTATTTTGAAAGGCCCTAAAAATATATCCGCCCACGTAATTTTCAATTTTTTTTTTTTTTTTTTTTATTCGATAAGCTTGAGGTGTCTCCTTTTTTAATGGGTTTAAAATTTAATGTGCCCCTTTAAGCTATACAGTACTCTGATGCTACTGTCTCTTTAAACTCAAGATTTATCATAATATATCTTATATAATCCCAAATGTACATACTTAACAAAACAATACTTCATGATTGCATATTTGTGACATGTCCAGACAATTGACGACAAATATAACGATATATCATTTCCCTATAAAGACATTGACTACTTGGTGCATATCATTACGTCATTGTCATATTATTGTTTTGGTTGACTGACTTCACGTTGAAGATGGCTACATCGTATATGCCTACATGTTTAGGCCTAAGGCTACATACATTTAATCTTGCAAGAAATTAATCAGCTAATACTACAAACATTATACATTCAGTCATAAGGGAAATTCATCTATTTGGTACCATAATATTAATTATGGTATGTAATAAATTCCAGGATTGTAACGTTTGGTAATGGATTAGGTAAGATAAGTCTACTTACACTCGCTGTCATTCTCTCTAACACAACCCAACTTGTAAGACTCGGAAGCCCAGCCAATGACCAATTGTCACTCAGAGAATGACCGACCCGTAACACCTGCTGTAAGTACAAAGCAATTGAATATTTTCTATAATTTATAGTTATCGAAACCGTTGTTCAGGGTACATGAAACATTAGATTCATATTATATACCTGAGTTTTTGTGATGTATGAGCAAGGGCAATACAAGGGAAACAATTCAGTTTTCTGATAGTAAAGTCTAAAGCGTGTAATTACATGCCAACGTGAATGAGTCGGAAGCCCATTCACATACCAACTGGAACTCAGAGTATGACTGCTGTAGTAACTACAAAGCATCTGAATATTTTATATAGGCGTCGAAACAGTTGTTCTGCGAACATGAAAATTAATAATAATACAGACCCAAGTTTCTGCGATGTTATGTGCAAGGGCAATGTAAAAGGGATAATCCAGCTTTCTGATGGGAAAGTCTAGGCAGTGGATACGATGAGATTGTTGAAAAGCCGATGCAGACAACAACCTATTAAGAACTATCTGTTAAGACAACAAGATACGTGTCGCTCAAACGCTGGGCATCGGAGAGAAAAAAAATTACCAGTGCCCATTCAACTTAACCCGATGAGGAAGAACCGCGGGAGAGTCCCGAACTGTCTGCGAGCCTACGCGTGCTGGTTGTATATTATTACCCACAAGTCTGGATATTATCTAATGATATAACCATGATATAACAATTGTATGATGACACGTTAAAAAAAATTACCCTTGTGATTACAAGAAAAATCTCCAACAATCGCCATCATACAAGAGCTAGTTACAGTTATAATTTGTTGGTTTGAATGATGGCTATCCGGAAATGCAAGAAAAAAAAACAATAATACTGAAGACCAGGATCACAATACAGTCGCTTTATCAATTTGCAACCACTTATACGTATGTTACGGTAAAATAGTAAGAGATGAATTAACTGAGGATAACTGCGGAACAATCGATTGAATGGTACTCAGCTAGTCGTTAAATAATGGTAAAGGTAATTCGGGTTCAACTAAAAGCTACGGATTTGCAACAGTTTTAAAGGTATGAAGTAATCACAGCAAAAAAAAAATCACATTGAATGAAAATTACATATAATTATATACACATACATATACATAGGCTACCGTATATATACGAAGTAATAATATTATTTATAAGAATGTAAATAATTATGATGATGATGCGGTTGATGGGGACGACGACGGCGGTGACGATGATGATGATGGTGGTGGTGGTAGTGGTGGTAATGATGTTGATGGTGATGATGAAGTTGATGGCAAGGAGGATGAAAAATATCAATTTGCCTATCCAAAAGTAATTTTGATTGCCAATCCCTAATGCCGTGGTCTAAAAGTAAAATTCAATACTCTCCCCATGATCCCTATCAGGAATTTTTATTCCGGGACTCTGATCGAGGATCTAGTCGGGCCCTTTTTTTTGGAACCCACTGTCTGACATATCGGACCCGTCATCGGAAAATTTCTGGAGCAATCACTGAATATCATTACTTCTAAATAGTTTTAATGTCTCACAGTCTTCACTTACAAATTGGCTAAACGCCGTAAAGGTATCCCAATACATATGCTTCGCCTCAGACTTCATCGCACTGTAAAGGTGCGATACCGTTATTGTTGGTGCAGAATCTACCAATAGTGTTAATACACTGAAAATTGTCATAACTATTGGATTAGAAAACAGGAGATAAAAGATGATAGTAATTAAAAGTGCATTTATTAAAAGCAAAAGCATTAAACTAAAATAAACAAAACCTAAATATAAGAATAAAGAGTTAATTTGATAAAATGAAACATACCTAACATGCAATATTTAAGTATGTTGCAGGGTTAAAGATATTAATTATACCCTATAATATAGTTTTAGCATTATTCAATAGGACCTATTAAACACCTCCCTGATAGAACATATCTGAATATAAAGAAATATAAATATATGCTACTTACTAAGACAGCTATGAGCACTACAGAGTAGATGAACCATTGCGGTGTGGATCTAATATTCCCTGATACTCGATTTGTCTGTATTTACCGTGCCAAAAAATGATATCCGTTATGAAAATTATGCAGTACGCGTGTGTAACGGTGTGTGTACAACTTCATGATCTACGGTTGTTTAGGGCTGATCTTTATACATACAGACGTATAACAAACAACTCACGTGATTGGGCAACGCTGCCGAGTGCGTTTTCATTGGCTAAACGGTGAGACGGCACACCTCCTCTAAAAACTTCATCAATGAGTGACCGACTGGCAGACGGATGATACACAGGCGAATTCCCGCATCTAATTGAACGTGTATTTGATTAAATATTGGTTGAAAATCACAAGAAAAGTTTGTTTTCGTGATAAAAATAATCTTTTCTTATAATTTACCACAAATGTCAACTGACCGACAACCATGCTTATTAAAACTCGTGAAGCGTAATTTTTAGTAGCTGTCTAATATTAATAACTTAAAAGTAATCCTCCGCCCACTAATCACTCAGATGGGCTATTGCAATTTAGCACCACAAAATAAAAGACAAAGCTGTTAAAATGAGGTACAACGATTCTTTATATTTCGTCGTGAAAACACAGGAAGTTTACAATTTACCAATTTTTGTGTGGTTTGTGTATTATTAATATGTTTTAGACAAAAAAAAAATTAACATGTCGTGTCGTATATCATGATTATAAGCCACCGGTTCTTTAAAGACTTAAGCATTTTCAAAAATCTATTGTTTGACATTTAATGCTAAATGCATTCTATTGCCCTTCCATTTTAGAACATTTGAAATTATAAAAATTAAAAAAATAATATAGGATTTAATAACTATGCATGCGTAATACTATTAATATATACTAAGAAAGTCCGATACAGTACTTTCCCCTAATGTGTGGACAGCGATAGCTCTAAAGAAGTGTTTTAACACCGGTGTCATATTAAACTCGCTTTCTCAACAGAGTATTAAGTAGGAATTTAGATTGATAGTCCACAGTGGTGTTAACCCGAAGTTTGAAGTGTGTGACATGTAACACAAGAGGAACATCTTATAGTACATTTGAATTTGAAATATACGCTGACAGTTGCTGTTGGTCTAACCGTTATTACAGCAGTTATGTTTCTAAAATCCAGTTATCCATTTTGAATTTATTGTGCATTAGAGCAATCGTACACTAATGCCATTATATAATTAAACATTAATGTTATTAAAATGTCATCGAAGTTGAACCATAAAGAGTTTGCGGAAAATGAGATTCACACCGCGCAGGATATTTCTGAAACGGTCGCAGTGCGGAAGTGGTAGCAAGGGTGCCTTAATTCAATTTCGTATTCTCGTTTTACTTTTAATTCCCAGGAACGAAATACAACTCCAACTTCCACGTTAAACGAATTAAGTTTTATTACTATTATTAGTCCTTCGTTATCGAGACGATTATGACCAGAACCGATGTCTTAATTGTGATGATACACCTTGATAGAAAGAACCAACACACCGCCCTAAAAATTGCGTTTTTGCACACCATATAGACAGTACCGGTAACTCTTCCAGCTTAACTGATATTTAGGGGATCTCTTAAATAAAAACAAAATCGAAATAATAATAGGATGCTTTATAAACCAATTATCGTTACGAGACTCCGGGTCAGGAGAGGATCTTTGGATGGGCTTCTTTTCGAGCCTACTTTTGCAAAGTAAAGAGGGGGTGGGGGCTTCTTTTCAAAATGAATTCTGTAAATTTTGTGAATTTGTACTATAAAACAATAAATACGGCCACTGTAACATCAATCTGTATCATTGAGTGTATTTGACTGGCATTAAATCACCTAAGCTACAGTATAAACCAAGCTTGTATTTAATTCAAATTCATGTACAGTGTTCAGTATTGTATGTACTGTACAATCTCGAAAAGAAGTCTATGCTATCTTGAAATGGGCTTCTTTTCGAGGCTAATTTTGCAAACTAAAGAAGGGGGGGGGGGCTTAAATTCGAGATGGGTTTCATGTCGAGATTAAGCCCACTGGGCTTCAATTCGAGATTTTACGGTATTCTCTCATCTCTCCCTGTTTTTGACAAGCTTGATGATGAGAGACGTGACTGTCTACACTACGGTACCACAACATGGTTTTTTTTTTGGTTTTTGTTTTTTTTTTTTACCGCGAGGGTGTCGTCAAATCGTTCCGGTTTCTCCGCAAACTTTTCTTAATTGGTAACGCTATCATTAATGAAATGCAGGATCATTCGGTTGCATCTCATTTCCGCGGCTCCTTTCTTTTAGCTTTGGCTTGAGAGTACTAGAGAGCGTATCAGCTCTTCATTTCGGCAATAGTTATTTTCATCCGGAAAAAAAATATGGGCATTATTTAGGCCTCATTATCACATAGACCTAGGCCTCATTATCATCATTATCATAACCATATATATTGATACTATAAATATTAATATTCTAATATAATAATACTAATAATAATATTAATTTTGTTTTCATAAACTGATTATA